AAGAGGGGACCTGGCAACCCTAGCCAGTTTGGTGTAGTGGTTAAGTGTGCGGACTCTAACCTAGGAGAACTGGGTTTGATTCCTCACTCCTCCACTTGCAGCTACTGGATGACCTTGGGCAAGCCATAGTTCTGTCAGAGCTGTTGTTGAAAGGGCAATTTCTGTCAGAGCTCTCTCGGCCCCACCTACCTTACAGGGTGACTGTTGTGGGGAGGGGAAGGGAAAGGAGTTTGTAAGCCGCTCTGAGACTCCGAGTGAAGGGCTGGGTATAAACCCAATCTCTTCTTCTTCCTCTTCTTCTAGGAGATACTGTGCTTGGGAGAGAGGTGTGCCCTAGGCTTCAGAGCAGACTCAGTTGACTTTCAGTCTTCTCCGCTAACCCTGGTTAATAGACACAGACCGTGGTTAACCTTAACTGTGGTCAAGGGTGACGTCAGAATGCAGCCGATGCTCTGTTCAAAGCTCTTGTTGCGTTGGATATGCCCTTTGCAAGTCCTTTTTGAGCTTTTCGGACCTTGGTCTGATTAGTTTTGAAGATGGATTTATGCTACAAGCAGGGATCATTTCATAGAAAAAGAGGTGCAGGAGCTCATTAGCTTAACTCGTTAGCATGACTTATTTGCATATGCCACACACCCCTGACATCACTGGAAGCAGGGGGTGGGGCTTGTTGCATGTGTCCGCCCCCTGGGCTCCTTACTGCTGGAGTTCCGCTCCTGTGCGCTCCTGCAGGAAATGACCCCTGGCTACAAGTACTAGCCAAGTCCTGTTCAAAATTATTCTTGCGCTGCAACTGTATGGTCAGTTTGGCCCTGAGGGTCTCATTACACGAGACGTGGAATGCAAGGCAGTTTGAGGTTTCTGCAGCCCAACTCACATTTTGTGTCTGACCTGGATTCACCTTCAAAATTATTGGGGGGAGGGGCAGATCAGCCGCTGAGCACAGTGCAGTTTTCCCTCCCTTCCATCTGGTGCTTCTTTCAGCAGCAAAAAACGGTAGCTGGAGGTGGGGGGGGTGTTGTTGGTCTCACCGCTGGTCCCACGGGTCTGCCCACATGTCCGGGAAACCCCCAAACTGGCTTGCATTTCACATCTCATATAACAAGACCTTGAATTACGTGCTTATCTCAGGTTGTGGTTTTACTGTCTCTGTTTCCCCGACTCCTTGGCTCTCAGTGGGAGCTTTGCGGGACTCTTTAAGCTCTCTGGGGTCTTTTCATATCAATTAACGCTTTTATGTGAGTGATTTACGCTTAATTTCCCCCCCTCCCCTGATCCTTCCGCCACCTCTCCTGCCAACATTTCTTCCAGTCGCTCCAAGCCGTTTCCTCTTGGATGTCCTTCCATTTCTTGTAGCTTTGAATCTCTCTCCAGCTGAATTTGTGGGATGACCCCCATAATCCTCCTGCTTCTCTGTCCCTGAAAATTCTCTTCTTACTCAGGTTCGCCTCCCAGAGCTGAGCTGATTCATTCAGGTAATAGCTGAAGCGTTACCAAGGCCAGCTTTTTAATATTTCCAAAGAATACTTCTTTGGCTCGCTTTCCCTGGTCTTGATTATTGCGGTGTTTGTCTTTCTTGCCTGATCATTTCTCATCTTCGGATTTCTCCTTCTGTTTTGAGTCCTGCTGTGTGCCTTTTCCCCTCCACTCTATCCAGTACTGTTTTTCTGTTTGCTGGCTTCCTTTGCCTCAACATGTTCCATTCAGGTTTCTTATTCTTTTTCATAAATTGTATAGATTGCAAGGCTGTGTATTAACGTGCATTTCCCCATTCTGTTGATACTTTTTCTTGGGCAGCTCTACCTAGAATGCTATGTCCCAAGGGTCCATTGCAGCAGAGAAAGGGTGGGGTGGGGGAAGGAAGTGCTTGGACCATCCCATGACAACTGCTCGCCCCTGAAACTCTCTCCCTGCTTGCTTTTACGCCTATAGAGTTCTAGCCTCCAGTTCAAAAAATAGGGCAGGCGTTCCCAACAGGGTGCCCAAGCGCACCCTGTTACCCACCAACACCTTTCCTGGTCCTCACCAGTGTTCCCTCTAAGCTGAGTTAGTGTGAGCTAGCTCGTAGTTTTTTAACCGGCAGCTCACACGTTTTTGTCTCAGCTCAGGAGGGATGGCTCCAGAACAAACTAATTGATACAGGAGCCGAATCGCTCACTCACAACTTTCATGCCAGTAGCTCACTAAGGTCGCGAAGAGGTTTATTTAGTTTTGACAACTACTGAAAGTTAATAGATATTGTAAAATGTAAGATGTATAACCAATTTAGGGAAGGGTAAGTTACCTATAGATTTGTGTAATAGATTTAAAAGGAGGTTAAGAGGATTTAAGAACTGAGCAGGAGGTTGGAGCACTGTGGGAAGCCGAAAAGGGGGGGGAGGGTAGGAGGGTAGGATATAGGGGTATAAAAGTGTTTGATATATATTGACTTGTGTTTACCATATCCTAATAAAATGTGTTTTAAAAAAAACACTAAGGTTGTGAAGAGTCGGACTCGACTGTGCGACTGAACAACAACAGCAACACGAAAAAGCTCACAAAGTAGAGTCTTTGCTCACAAGACTCCACATCTTAGAGGGAGCACTGGTGCTCACCGACTGTTTTTGGGAAGCGGGCAGGGCCAAGTGGGGCTTTTGCCTAGCAGAGCTTCTGATTGGCCGCTACAAATCTGATTGGCTGTTCAGATTAAAATACATCCTGCTCAACAGGGCTTCTGCCTGAAACTTTGAAGAGTTACTAATGAGAGTTGTGCATAACTTCGTTCCCTGACATGTTGTGCTTGGCTCTGCCTCCTGAGGCAGCCATTTTGTGGTTAGCTTCCCCTCCTGCAGCAGCCATATTGTCACTGCGCCCACCCCCCGGTGTCAGAAATTCAGAGGTGTCTGAAGGCTCAAAAAGGGTGGGGACCCTTCAAACAATAGATAGATGGATGGATGGGATGGGGATGCTATTCCATGAGAAGAACTGACATGCGTCATATAATAGAGCGCTCTGAAGTGTGGCCATTGTGAAATGAGGCTGGAAGAGCTGTGCAGTGAATGCCCCTACCCTTTTTCTTGAATGTCGACAGGGAGAACAAGGTCTAGAAGGAAAGCCGGGATTTCCTGGTGTTGCTGGGCGTCCTGGCGATGCAGTGAGTATCATTCCTCATCCAGGAGTTACATGGGAATGGCTGGGGTTGCATTTCCATTTTTGGTGTGAGGAAGCAGGGCGTTTCGGCGAAAGGCAAGAAAACTCGTAGCAAAATTCACATCGGGGCCTTTTAAACATGTGCAACCGGACACCAAATATGGAGCGTCAGGGGGGGAAACGTGCTGTTCCAAGAGGACATTCAGCTCATTCAAAACCTGAAGTCATGCAAAGGTTGTTTCAGGTGATCTGCTGCATAGAGTAGCTGACGGCCACGTGAAAAGTCTTGGGCTCTTCTAGCACCCCAGACCCTGTTCAGATGGACCCCTTTTGTCCTTTTCCTGCCCATTTTAACCCATCTTTAAAGGTGCCACTGGACTCGTACTTTATCCTGCAGACTGCCGTGTAGGGTTGCCACCCCCCTGATGGGGGCATCCCCGAAGAGCCCCCTGGTGCGCCTGACGTGCCTGGCACGACGATGGCACCAGAATGTGACATTATCCTGCCAGGCACATTACGTGGGAAGACGTGCACCAGAAGGTCTTGGGACCCGGGCTGGAGCCCCCCCACCTGGAGGTGATGTCATCGCGCCAGACATGTCATGTGGGGGGGGATGCACACCAGAAGACCCAGGGACCTGGGCCGGAGCCCCCCAGGTAAGACCTGGCAGCCCTACTCCTGTCTGAGTCTCCACAGACTCTTCACAAAAGTTTCAAAGGGGAAAGAACAAAGTTTGAGCCCAGCGGCACTTTTAAGACCAACACAGTTTTATTCATATTCTAAAACACGGAGACCTCTTTCCTGACTAGTGTGAAGGTGCCCAAAGTCAGATAAGGGCAGCGACACACACGACAGCGGAATGGGCAAGGTGTGGTTGTAGCCGTATGTGCTGCCCCTACGAATTGCCATCACATACAACCCCGCCATTCCAGATTTCCTTTTTTACAAGACCAGTGCTGGATATATTTCAGATTAAATTGCAATACAGTCTCAGAACGTTGCTTATGGATTCCCCCCCCCTTTTTTTGTATCTTGCAGCAATTTTGGCAAAGGCAAACAGGGCATCTCCCCCCCCCCCCA